TCTGGGCTTACCGCACCACCATACGCACGCCCACAGGCGCCACCCCGTATTCGCTGGTATACGGATGTGAAACTGTGCTACCGCTGGAAATTCAGATTCCATCCCTTCGGATCGCACTCGCAACAGAGATGACGACAGAAGAACAACATCAGAAGCGTCTCGAAGAGCTCGAGAGGCTGGATGAAAAGCGTTTGGAGGCTCAACAACACATCGAGTTTTACCAAGCCAGGATGTCAAGGGCTTTTAACTTACCAGGCTAGAATATCTAGGGCTTTTAACAAAAGAGTTCGACAGAGAAGCTTCAAGGAAGGAGATCTGGTCCTCGCTGCTCACCGACCAATAATCCTCACTTCCAAGAAGAAAGGTAAATTCGAACCCAAATGGGAGGGGCCGTTTGTGATAGACACAGTCTACTCAAACGGCGCATATCGCCTAATTCCTTGAAGAATATTACACTTAATATTCTAGAGGATAACCCAAAATCTTTTTCATCACCAAAATCCCTCACTGATCAATTTCAATTGACAGTGAGTCCACCAAAAATGTTTTTCTGGCCCTCTTGATTCTTTCCATGAACAAGAGGTCCACTTTCAGTTCGGAGCCTCCTTTCGGTAAACGAAAGAACTCCACTCTTTTCTCTTCGGTTAAGTTTTTCATGGTTATAACCAGAATTGAAAATTTCACTTCGATAAACGAAGAACTCATCTTCAGATTAGATAACCAGTCCTATAAAAGGTAACTTTATCTACATCTTCCAGACTCTCGGAGTGGACACCCCACTTCTAGTTTCTTCTTTACTGGAAATAGTCTCCTTTCCAGTTGAAGATAGAATATAAAATTCTTCTTCTTCAGTGTCGGGAGATAGAATATAAAATTCTTCCTCTCCCATTTCGGGTTCGTCTTTGCCCCAAGAGAAGACACCACCTTTTTCAAATCCCAAAATTTGTGCCTCACAGGTATGGAAGTTTATCCCGAATCCTAAGCAGGGATAAGTCTGCGCCTAACACGCGCTGCCGGTTTAGTCTTTTTCCGTAGAAAAAGACACCAGAGTTCGATTCTGGGGTATTCTATCCTGAAACCTAAGCAAGGATAAGTCTGCGCTTAACCCGCGCTGCCGGTTAGTTCTTAACCGTTAAAAAGAACACCCGTTCACATATTCAACATTGTGGGATGTTGTTATTAATAACACCAAAATCCATGCCTTACACGCATGGGGAATTTCATCCTGAATCCTAAGAAAGGATATGCCGACGCCTAACACGCGCCGCCGGTTTAGTCTTTCTCCGAAGAAAAAGACACCAGAGTTCGATTCTGGGGTATTTTATCCCGAAGCCTAAGTAGGGATAAGTCAGCGTCTAATACACGTTGCTAGGTAGCCTATTCCCATGATAATGGTGAAGTCTACGTATTCAAAGTCGTAGCACAAAGTCTAAGGGAGTTCATTCCTGTAGCGCAACGTTACATGCGAACGGATTTAGACAATTGAACCGCAGGATAGAGCACTTCCAGTGGCAGAGCGTCACCAGACTGATACGGAACCACACATTTCTTCAACCATATGGCGAGATAACCGGCAAGGAGAGTCATCGGACGAATCGGTGCGGTCGCATGGCATAAGAATGATTTGAATTTAGTCCCTGCAGGAAAGCCACTCTCAGGACTGCTAATGGTATAGGATTGGGCGTTAGTCTTAGTCAACAGCTCATTAACCTCTGAGGGAGTCAGCGGTGCCAGTTCACAAATAGTTTCGCCAGAATGGCTCTCCAGATTCCTGAACAAATATGATGCGAACTGCTTCAGGCTCATATTTGATTTGGTCCTCTTCGCTAGGGGCTTAGACTGTGCCAAAGCAATGTGATAGTGACAAGCGAGGTCCCATAAGGTCTCGTAGCGGTCGGGCATGTGATCCTTCAGCTGGCTCAGTTCATGGTTGGAAGGAAAATACTCCTGGTATAACATCTGACCCATGGGCAAACCAGAAATCTTATGCATCTCATGAAGAGCCAAACCCAACTCTCCGTGCCTAGTCAGAAAGGTGTTCGAATCCGGATTATAAAGCTCGCATAGGGCAAAGAAATGCCTCGCACTAACAGGTAAACCATGCATGGTGGCACGAATGGCTGCATAAAGACCGCAAGCATGCAACTCCTCGCTCCATCGACTCAAGACGTACTTCGTCATACGAGCCCACCAAAACCTGTCCAAAGAATGGACCCAACCATAGAATCTGTGGCGCGGTGCAGGCATCTCCCGTCCTAAGATAGCGAGGCGATTCCTCAAAGTAGAAGCAGTGGTGAGGAACTCATTGCGAGGCGGAGTATCTAGCCCCAGTACTCCAGGACGCAGTCCAACAATGTGATCCCTGCTCGAACCAGGAACTGCCTGATGAGTAATGTAGCCGCAGTGAACGCTCTCATGCTCCTCTGTCAAGCGCCACGACATCTCCCGTTTCACAGCCTGATGCCTAAACTCAGTCAAAGAACGATGTCGAGGAATCTTCGGTAAATACAGGAAACTGCTGCCAGCCTTATGAAGCCACTGCTCGCGTCGATAAACGCTGCATCGGGATCTCTGACAGAGTCACCAAACAAAAAATCAGTCTTCCTGAGAGACTGAACGGAATTGGCATCCTTCACAAGTGGTGCATCAGTAATCAACTGTCGAAGAGCTCGGTGCCCACCTTCCTTCACCACCTGAACAACCTCAGTCGATGTACCCAAAACGAACTGAGGAGTGACTGGGATAGGGGAAACATCGTCGGAGGTCGAATAATACTCGCCACGACGTCCATATATTGCGTGAGATGAGAACGCTCCAGAAGGGTATTCAACTGAGAACAAGCAATTAAACGTTTGTTAATTCCAGTTATAAAAGGAAATTGAACTCATCTTACGAAGGGGTAAGATAGAGTCATTGCCTTATAAAGGGTGTGACGTTTTGGCCACGTTGCGCCTTCATAAGATAGGGTATATCGATAATATATCCCTGCCTTATAAAGCACAACGCAGCGACAAAACGCCCCCTTTATTTATTATGAGATAGTGTTTTGACCAAGCAAAACATATCTTTGAAGCGTCGATCCTCACCAAGGAGAATCAAGGCTTTTCCCGGTTGCCTCACCAAGGAGAACAACGGGGAGTAAAAAAAAGAAAAAGGACCAATTTGCAAATTTCCAAGAAAAAAATGGACTAATTTGTAAATTTCCAGAAAAAAGTGGCTCACCAGCATAAGAGGGAGGCGCGCCATCAGTCGGCATGGTAGAGGATTGACCCCTCGCCATACGGGACATAGAAACCTGCAAGGTAAATTGAAGGATCAGATCTAGAAAAGGAAAAATCCCATTTTTACCCCAAAAAAGGCAAGTTTGAGGCATCAAATCACACCCTCAACCCTTATATGTGATCCCGCGACTCCATATACTAGATCAAACATGAAATAGATCAAGATGGCGGAGGATTTACCTGAAGAAAAGCCCAAAATTCAATAAAGGCGAGACCTTTAAGGAAACTTGAACCACACGCTCGAGGGGCCTGAGAGAAACTTTTTATTTGGAATTTTTGGGGGATTTCTCAGTCCAAGATCCAAAGGAAAGCTAGATCTAATACAGATCTGAAGTTTGGAGGGAGAAAAGAGGCTTGTGAGAAGAGAAATCAAGAGAAGAGAGGGAAGGGGTGGCCGGCCCTAGAAAGAGGAGAAGAAAAAAAGAAAAAGAAAAAAAAGGGGACCTCTTTTATCCTTGAACCAGATCTGGCTGACCCAGACCAGACCGGGCTAAACCAGACCAAGTCAGAATGGACCAGAATGGACCAGAATGAGCCAGAATGAGCCCAAATTGAGCCAGATTGAGCCTGGCTGGACCAGACCAGACCAGAATGAGCCAAATTGAGTCAGATTGAACCAGAATGAGCCAGTCTGAGCCAAATTGAACCAGTTTGAACCAAATTTGAACCAGAATTCAAATTGAAGCTGAATTAAGCATTGAAACGACTTTTGATCAACCTACGGTTCAGTCCTTCACCTATTTAACCCCTCTACCATATATTTGGAAGGGTCGGAGAGATTTGTTTAACCCAAATACTGCCTTTTTGGCACATTTTTTGGGCCGGTTCAGATTATTCGAACCTAAAGAATACTCCAATAAGGTATACGAGTATAAACTATTCCCTCCTCTTTGTTGAGAAGTTTCTGGAGAATATTTTTCTAAAAAATATTCTTAAGGATAACTCAACATAACTCCCAGGAGTGTATGAGTATAAACTAAACCTCCCCGCTCCAACTCCTTTAGAGCTTAAACTGTGTAGACTCCAAAATACTTACGAGTGTAAACTGTGTTAAACGCCGGACAACGCGTCACAATGAAGATTCAAAGCCGTCAACCGATGGTCAATTCCATGTTGAAGCAACTAATTCGGGCTAAAAAGCTAGGAAACCAAGAATCGACTTCAAATTCAAAATTCCGACAACGGTCAGACAATAAATGCAGCACCGTAACCCTCTCAAACATTCGACAAAGCACCGAATAGCCTGGAGAATTGAAGGAATCGAGAATAGAAGCCATTCCAAGAGCCCGTTACACCGATTGAAGGTTGGGACAGTCATATCCAAAGTATTCCAGACTCTTCTATAAAAGAACGAGACTGGAAAACTTTGGAGGGGGTATCTGTAGGCATATAAAATTGCTTATAGGTCCCTTGACACGGTTCAAGACGAACTAATGAACCATCAGGCGATGTATCTAAGCACAAACGTCACCGAAGCCAAGTGGCACGCAACGAAGCGGATTAACAAGGCTACGAAGCTGACGAACCGTACGTGAACGACGGAATGAATCCACTCGCGTACGGGATCAAACCAACGGTCCAGAGAGTCAACGAGTCATCCAACCATATAACGGATTCGAACTCAGACACCAAAGCCGATTTACTGCCTAATCGGGATCCAGACTGCCAAATCAGGAATCAAGTCAACAAATATTAAAATATGGAGGCAAGCAGAGCTATATGGGGCATCGTCGCTATCTTGATGAAAATCACAGTTGGAGAAAGGATAAGAAATCATTTGATGGCACTAGGGAGAGAGGGTATGCAGCGCCGAAGCTGACCGGAGATGACATCCTTAAGCAGGTGGAAGATCTTATAGGGATCACCTTGACCAATCATCCAGAGAAGAAAATTAAAATATCACACGAAAGACGGGGAGATAATTGGAATAAAAAAAGTATTTTTTTTGATTTGCCATATTGGAGAACTCTCTTATTGCGACATAATTTAGATGTCATGCATATTGAGAAGAATATTTGTGATAGTCTGCTGGGAACAATCATGAACATTAAAGGAAAGACAAAGGATAATATCAAAGCCCGTCTCGATTTACAAGCAATGAGTTTAAAACCGGAGTTACATCCAATCCAGAGAGGAGATAAACTTGTGATGCCAGCAGCTTGTTATACTTTATCCCAAGAAGAGCAAAGCAAATTTTGTCGATTTCTAAAGGAGTTAAAAGTTCCAGATGGATTTTCATCCAATATTTCTCAATGTGTAAACCTTAAAGAGCGTAAGATTTTGGGGTTAAAGAGTCATGACTGTCACATTCTTTTGCAGTGCTTGATTCCTGTATCAATTAATGACGTTCTTCTTGCAAAAGTGTGTGAACCAATTATTGAACTTTCCATATTCTTCACTATATTATGTGCCAAGACATTAAGGGTGGATGAACTTAAGCAAATTGATGAGCAGATTCCACTTACGTTATGTAAGCTTGAGAAGATTTTTCCACCTTCAATTTTTGATGTTATGCTGCATTTAGTAGTTCATTTAGCATCTGAAGCCATACTTGGAGGGCCTGTTCGATTTCGATGGATGTACCCAGTGGAGCGTCAGCTTTATACTTATAAGTCATATATCAGAAATAGGGCACGTCCAGAAGGGTCAATTGCTGAAGGATATATAGCAGATGAATGCATGACTTTTTGCTCAAGATATCTAAAAGGCTTCGAGACAAAGTTTAATCACCTTGAAAGAAATTATGAAGATGGCAATAGAGAATGTCATGAGGCACAACTATCTATTTTCAGACATAGTGGACGCGCATTGGGTGCTGCTACCACCCGCTACCTTGATGAACGGTGATGAAGTGCAACCACACATTGAGTTCTAAAGAACTGTGATGAAGTGCAACCACACATTGAGTAAGTCACTAAAGTTTAAGATTCTACTAATAAATTTACTATAGTTAGTCAACGTTAATCATATTTATGATATTTTAATGTAGGGACTACAATGAATTCGTGAGAGAACCCACAAATCAATATGATGATAAAGATTGGGATAAGAACTTTATCGAGTGGTTTCAAGCTCTAGTACGTACATATCTTGCCTTATTTTTTTTAATATATTGATTGGTTCATTTTATTACATGTTCCATGACTTGATCATATTTTGGTTTTGTTTAGGTTTATCAGAGTTATCGAGAAGATGATGACTTACTTTCATTATCTCGTGATCCAAGTAAGATTGTTAAATGTTTTACTGGATTTGTCATAAATGGACATCGATTTCATACAGAAAGTTGAGATAATTGTTTGTCAACTCAAAATAGTGGGGTTACGGTTGTTGGTGATGCTGGTGATGGTGGAGATATAGATTATTATGGTGCTTTGGTTGAAGTTGTCGAATTAGAGTATCCTGGTAGAAGAAAGGTTGTTCTATTTCGTTGTAAATGGTGGGATGTGCACGGCAAAGGAAAAATTCACCTCGTGGTAAAAATAAGTGTCTAAAGTTGAATAATTTGTCACATGGGGAGAAAAAGATCATTACTTTTTATCAGAATAGAGCTATTGAGCCAGAATTTTCACGATACCTTGGAATTATTATTCGTGATAGAAATATTTGCCAAGTAGCTGTTGAGAATTGGGCCAAAATACCACAACAAAATAAAGATCATATGTGGGCATCCATTAAGGTACATTGAAAATTAATTAAATGCATTTGGTTTTTAATTCTTATAAATTAAATTTTGATTCAAATTTGATATAGGATAAATTTGATGCTGAGGACATGGAGCAAAAGAGAGAGTTAGTAATGAGACACTTGCGCGATTTGTGGAATAAGTGGCGTGGTGACATGCACAGGAAATATGTGAAAGAAAATTCATTACAAGTTGCACTTAGAAATAAACCTACAGAAGTGAGTGTTGATGACTGGGATTGGCTAGTTAAGGAACATTATTTTTCTTCAAAATTTCAGGTATTAATCTCCTAATTTTATTAATTTTGTTCCATGTATATTGTTGGATTGTTGAAATTATCTTTTAATCTTGATGTATAGAAAGCAAGCCAACAAAATACACTTAACAGAGGCAAAAGAAAGATGCTCCACCATACGGAAATTGGTATACATTCAAAACTAATTTCTTATTTATTTATAACTACTTTGTTTTTTAGTTTGATGTTGTACTCATTTTTATTTAATATTTGAATAAGGGTGGCAAGTCAGGTAATCCACCTGATGTGGTAAAAATGTTTCATGAAACTCGAAAGAAAGCTAATGAAACACTAGAAAATGGGGATCAAGATAAATATGTAAGTAGAATATGTGTTTAAGTTTGATAATGATGCATTATATAGTACTAACATATGAATTTAATTTTTATAGGATGAAATTGTTCAAGTCAAACAAGCAAACCCTTCACTTTCTGACATTGAGATAGTTGAGAAAATCTGGGGGAAGCAATCTCATGGTCACATCACTGTATTTGGTGGCGGGACTACTTTGAAAGATTTGAGAGGACCGCTCCTTAGTCGATCTGATCTGGAAGCACGAGTTATAGAAGAAAAGAGAAAGAACCAGATGCTTCAACAATGCTTAGATGAGCAGGAGCAACAACAACAAAGGATGTCTGAGTTGGAGTCACAAGTGAAAGCTATGCAAGAACTTTTTTTTAGGCAATCACCTTCATTGACTCCTCAAACTCGAGAACATGTGCAGGACTAGGTAATTATTTTTTGTAAAATCTCTTATATACTTTTATGATTGACTACTTGCACTAAAAAATATAATTTTTTACTTGATAAGATAATATATGCTTAATTGATATTTCTTAATTATGTGATTTTTTTTAAATTTTTCAGGCTATCCATGCAAGATTAGGAGGGGGTAGCTCGAGTCTTATTTTGACGATGATTAGAGGTGTCAGAGATGTGTCTTCCCCAAACTTTTATTTTAATTTGTTTTAGATAGTTTCATGTATTTTTCTTTGGAACAAGTCTACAATGATGGTTTTATAAACCGTATTTTGTTCATCAACGAAGGAAAAGCACCGTCGTTGATGGGTTACTAATTACCCATTATGTGGACTTTTACGACGGTATCCAACCGTCATTAATTAGTCTTCAATAACGGGAAAATATCCCCGTAGCTAATGGTAACGACGGGAAAATATCCCGTCACTGATGGTAACGACGTCAAACTATCCCATCACTGATGGTAACGACGGGAAAATATCCCCGTTACTGATGGTAACGACGGTGATAATTACCGTCGTAAATATTAATGACGGTAATATGTTCCGTCGTTATAGACTCTATAACGACGGGTAGTATATCCCTTCGTGACCCTTTAACGAAGAGGGCTTCAACGACGGGTGACGAAGGGATTTTTTCCCGTCGTTATCATACAATAACGAAGGTTTTCAGCTCTTTAACGAAGGGAAATCCCTTCGTTAAAGATGTAATTTCTTGTAGTGAGATAGGTGTACATCTGCATACAATGCCCCTATCAAGTTGATGGTCAGAGACCAGCAGGGATGACAACGCGCAGTTTCAGCATGTTCTTGGCCACTTTAGGCCAATTGGGGTAGGAGAGGACGACGTCGGTGCCGAAGACCTATACAAACTGGGGTAGGAGAGGACGCCATCGGTGCTGAAGAGCTACACAAACCGATCCTTCTAGTCCCTGTTCGACTTAGGGGCGTTCAAGACAAGATTACCACCTCCACTATAGTGGTAGAAGTAGTGTGGGTCCCTCCTCATCGACTTGACCCTGACTAGATGCCCAAAGAAGCATATACTCAGTAGGACACCACCCAGTGGCAGATCACGATGAAGCCTACCAGGACCGCAATCGCATTCGGGGTGAACTGAGGGGGTGAAACCCCCAGAGCAACGCATACATCCCTAATGAAGGGATGAAGCGATAGTCGTAGCACATACTCAAGATGAGCAAGATATAACGGTGCTCTATTATCTCCATGGCAATACACTGGCTCGTCCCTGCTTGGCGCTGCGTGCGTGAAATCTTTGGGGATATCATAGAGCTCATAGTACTACTCGAGCTCTCCGACGGTGACCTTCGAGCTGATCCTCTCCTCACTGTGGCCGATGGTGGAGGACTAAGAAGCCATTTGAAGATTTGGAGTACAAAGGATTTAGGAAAGTTAAGAGAGATGTGCCGAAGATTTTAGGGCAAGAGTTTGTGAAGAAGACTCTTCTGCGCCCCCAGTGAGCTATTTATAGCAATTGAGGGGAACACTTGGATTAATTTTGACGGTCGGCTCATTTCAAAGTGAACGAGCGAGATTCGCCTTGAAATCTCAAACATTTCACACGAAATTCGAAGCATCCCTCCTTTACTACACGCCTCTTCGCTCTAAAACCGAAGCAACGCCATAACTCTCTGACAACTGATAGCGCCATTATGTCATTTCTCATAGTGATGTTTCACATGCCCAATAAATGCTTCTAGAAATTGTTTGGTGGAAATTTTGAAGTAAGTAAAATGAAAGAAAAGTAATTTGTATTCTCTCGATCTTAATTACAATTTGAATTTTCGATTACAAAAGAGAGGAGAATGATCCAGATTCTCTCCTTTGTTTAATTTTGGGTTCTTCACGGTGGCGATGGAGTGCCTCCCTCGAATGCTCGCGTCGAGTTTGCTCTCCGTTGACAATCCGCACGTCTTGATTCACTAGAACGGTATCTCCTCCTCATGATTTGACGCTGTGGAGAACTTACGTGGCAAGTTTGAAACTCTTGATGAGTTGATAACTCTGAACGAGTTTGAAACTCTATGAAAGAGTTGATTTAACTGAAATTGGTTTGTAAGCCAAGGACGAGCTCCTCGTTGCTGAAGTTGAAGATGATCTTCGTTGGAGAATGATGCCGATCCCTTCAGGCCCTTTCTGCTCCAAGAAATTCCCCCTTTGCTGCCAAGTCCCAGATCCAAAAAGCCAGCCAGAACTCAGTTGAGTTTACCCCATATTTATAGGGGATTAAGGGGTGTAACCGTCCCTTTAATTCGCTCCTAAGTGGGGCCGAATAGGGTGTAACCGTCCTCTTAAACAGCTCCCCAAATCGTGGGGAAAATAGTTTTGAAACCGTTCAAGTTGTGTTTTGAACGAGTCAAACGCTAAAAAATAGCGTTCAGGGTCCGAACTCTGCGTTTTAGACTTGAAACGCAGAGTTGGGTCTATTTTGGTGGCTGAACGCACAGGTCGCGTTGCGTAGAAATGAACTCTGCGTTTTGGGCCTGGGACGCAGAGTTAAGCTCTACATGAACTCTGCGTTTTGAGTCTGGGACGCATAGTTAGGCTCTATGTGAACTCTGTGTTTTGAGTCCACGAACTCTGCATTTTGATGTTGTAACATAGGGATGTTCTCTGCGTTTTAAGGTGGTAATGCAGGGAGGACCTCTGCGTTTTGCTTCTGGGAGTTTGGAATGTGGTCACGAGCTATGCATTTTAAATCTAGGACGCAGAGGTGAGCTCTACGTTCGGATTTGAAGAGACTGTCAATTTGTAGTCTCTTTTGCTAAAGTGTTGCAAAGAATGCCACCTTGTAATCTTCGTCTTGACTCCTTAAAAATATGAGAGTCGTCAGATTATAGCTCCCGATGTTGATTATGAAGGCTGTTGATTAGAGATTTCATCAGTTATTGTGAAGGTCATCAGATTGTAACCTTCATCGATCTACGTGGAAGTCTTTAAATTGTAGCTTTCTGGAAGCCGTCGAATTGTAACTTCCATCATCGGTGTTTGATGAGGATCAGCTATCTGTTGTGATTTTTAGACAGCCTACAGAAACTCACTAAACATTTATTCGACGAATAGTCGGTCTCCCTAGTCGATCCTTGAAAGCTAAAAATGGTGTAGGAAAATAAAATTGCATTTATCCCTAGAAGAGAAATTTAAAAGTTCGCCTGTAAGAATATTATCAAAAATAGTAAAAAACAAACAAAAACACCAAAATCTCTCAAACCAAAGGGAATTTGGAAAAACAGATAGTAGCAAATTGAACTTCAATGGGTTTGGTTGTCCTCATCTCGTCAAGATAGTTGATTTTCATAAATAATTAGTCTAATTCCGACTTACAGTTTAAAAGTTATGACCCTTTTTTTGCAGCAAGTTATGTTCCTCAACGCCTGAACATCGCCTACAAGATTAGGGTTCGCCTGAACCAAGCCAAGTCTACTTGTTTGCCTGAACATTCAAGGCAAGTCTGCCTCATAGTGTGAATTCGCCTGAATCAAATAAGCAAAGCCAAGTTTGCCTGAATACTTGACTCCGCGGACAAGACTAAGCTCGCCTAAACGCTTGAAGCTCGCCTGAATTGATTGAAGCTTGCCTGATAGCTTCGCCTATGAGGTTCGCCCGCTTACTCCAACCTCACCTGCATGTTCTAAGCTTGCCTGCATGTTCCAAGTTTGCCTGCATGTGCCAAGCTCACATGCACGATCCAAGCTCGTCTGCATGTGCCAAGCTCACCTACACGCTCAAAGCTCACTAAGCTCACCTGAAGCTCGTCATGCTCGCCTGAATGGTCAAGCTCGCCTGATTTATAAAGTTCGCCTGAAAGTCTGGTTTACTTGAATTGTTTGACCAAGTCAGCCACTAAAGCATGAATTGTGAAAATGGTTGTGCCCACTTTCCACATTCTAAGTGGGTGATTACTGGTCATTCTCCTCTATAAATAGCCATTGATGGCTACAAGAAAAGGGGAGGGGCAGAAAAGAGAGGAAAGGTGCGGATGCAAGGAGATGAACCTAGCATCTTGTGCACTCAGCTCTCAAATATCCTAGCTCGAGTATTCAAACTTTGATAAAGCTTCTACCACACGATGAAGCTTATTGGCAGTCTTGTTCGAATCCTCAGGAGAAGAGAACTGAACTTTGAGATCTCGGCATACTCACCCTACAAGCAATCAAGCACTTGTTCGGCCTTCGAACTCATCCAACCAAACTTCTACTATATGCTGAAGTTTGTCCGCAACCTCGTTTGAATCGTCAAATGGAAACAAACCTGACACGAGCGTCGAGAGAAGCATCCTATCGCCCCAAAGAATCCACGTTAAACAAAGAGAGATCGAATCAATTCTCTATGCTTTTGTATAAAAGCGATTTTGATTTGTAATAAACAGCTCAATTAATAAAAATTTTGAGATCTCATTTTATGACAAACAAACGGACTTTGAAGACTATTTCTCAAGCACTCGCCCAAGAAGCTCAGACGCCAACTAGTTAAAGTAGCCATCCAGATTGATTCTATAAATTAGACAAAAAACTAATACATCAAGAGTGACTACTCGAGTTCAGGACGTATCTTCTCAACGAAGAATGAGTACCCTCGAGTCAGCAGTTCAAGTCTATGGAGCTAAGTCATTCAGAAGACACAAATTGAGATTGTACAACACATGACAAGCAATTTCAGACTCAAAAGTGTTTCTTCATTCATTGATAAAGTGTCATTACAATATACAATGTATACACATATACAACAAAAGCATAGAAACAGGAAAGTCCTAGGAGGCTACGAGAAGTCCATTCCCACTCCAGGAGTCGCTGG